ATTAAAAAAAATCAGCTCATTTGCTCAAGCCTTAATGGAGATATTTAATTTTTTTCCTTTGGTGCGTGACTTTTGGACCACCCTGTATATTTTAGTACCTTTCCAACATATATAATATGAACTCCGTGTTAACTCCTCTGTCATCGATCACATTTTATTCTAGGTGACCTTTTCGCTCCCAGCTGATTCTCTCTTTCTTTCTGGAAGTTTATTCTACGATATTGTTAAGCAATTTTGTCAGGAAGAAGCTATGGAATTGCTGAAATTTCAATTGATTGATACATCAATGAGCTTACTTGAAGTTGATGATGTATTCTCAATTTTATATTTCGAATCTGACCAAACCACAATACTCAAAGAAAGGTTAGCTTTTCCATACAAAGATGAATTTGGTAACGATTCGTTCTTCGTTATGCCTGGAGTTCGTTTGAAGCTCAATAAGTTTATTCATGCTCTTCGTCTCCTTCTTCCATGTGATTTTACATCGACAAATACGAAGTCTTTGATAATTTCATCTGATCTAGTTCAAGAATATCCATTTTTGATCGACCTTATATATTGCTGCGAATCAAACTTGTTATCTGGTTTTCCGCTCGATCTCATCTCAAACATTTCTAACTTAAGACGGGCGAAAAGCTTATTTCATTACAAAAACGCGGTCAAGGATTTCGCCACATCTCTTTACATTATTGGAGGAAGAAACGCATATGAGTTTGTTCGAATTAATCTGCTTGGATCTATACCTAGTCTACCCAGTCTTCCACCTGGAATTGCATCTGAAAAAATCAGTACACGGAAAGTGAATTAGACTTTGATCGTCAAAAAACTCGTATGGACTCTTTTAAATGTACTTATGCATTTATCGGCGAAGATTGCGCCGGTGTCATACCAAAAGTACATTATAATGTGCATTCCAATTGCTTTATCGGATTCGCTCTTCCACTTACAGACGGGTTTCCAGTGACAAGGTTTTTTCCACCGGTGCATTGACTAAGCTTGAATCATGGCATAATACAATCGATAAAGCATCTCTTCTCAACGTACGCGTGGTGCAGCCATTATGTCTATCGAATCTCAATTCTGTACCATCGTTTCTTCTCTCAGCCGTACGGAACTAATTGGAAGTATACTGCTAGAGATATCCTTCAAAGATGGTTGAAGATATTCGATTCGTGCTTTGAACGAAACATAAGAATATTAGGGTTCTCAACTGATTGTGATCCAAGAAGCTTGAATGCGATGCGTAATGCTATGGGCTTTTTCTCAAAATCAGAAGCGCAATTAGACGAATATCGTCATCACTTCAATATTTTACTATTGAAAGTTAGTAGACTAGCACAGCATTTTATGTACAGATTTTATATCTTAAGTGGGTGAGGAAGCTCAATATTCTGACTGCAGAACTTGTCACAAACCTTAATATATTTACACATTCAAGCTAGAGTAGACAGTTGCAAATATCTGAGGCGAATTCGAAAATTATGATGTGCTAGCTAATTGTTTTGCTAAGCTAAATTGAATATGAAAGAGAAATATCTTCTCAGTCTGTAGAATGGTACTTCAGGTTATTTATACTGATTCATATTCATTAATGAAAGAGCTTCGATAAATTTACATCAGCCTTCTAATAGATTTATTTTTATGTTGTTTTAGAATAGTCCATGGTTTTTTCTTAAGTCAAAGCAACTTTTTCTGTGCTTCTAAGACGGCGTACATTTATGTACGAAACTCCGGAATCATCTTTTATCTTCTACCGTTACGCTGTTAATAGGGGAGAAGCACGCAAATGTTAGTTACCTGTTGGAACTAATTCAGAATTACTCAAAGCTTGATCGTGCTTTAACGATCTCTGATATGCTCCAAAATGACAAACAAAACTGCTCTTCCCGCGAGAAAATCTCGAATGAAATTCTTCTTTATTTTCTTAAACGAATTTCAGATTCCGAAGGATTGCAAGCATATCTTCAAGCAAGATTTATTTGATTTCTATTTTTACATGACTCTGGGATAGCAGCGTAATACGTTGTTACACGTTTAAACTGTCGCTAATATAAGGAAATCTACCCTGATTTTTATTTAATTTTGAGCCTCTTTTCTTCACCATATTCTATCAAACATCTGGATATTGATTATCTTTCAATAGCTGATCCGGTTTGCTCGCCTGGCGTTCGTTGAAAAACAAACATCTATTGTTGATCGATTATTCTACTTGTGGATCGCTGCATTCATAGTCCGTTTTGGGCTTCATGGCTAGAAGTGACAGATCATGCTGATCTACAAAGAATAATCACGCGTTTGTTACCGATCAGTTCTATGAAATCTATTTAAAAACCAGGATTATTTATAACAGTATCAGCCCACTTCTACCTAGAACTAAATGTTCATACATTGACACATCTGGTGGTCCCTGTCGCCGAGAAAACTATAACTGAAGAAGCTTTAAATATATCATTGTTTAATTCGCAGATATATGAAAATGTTTTTCGTGCAGCCCGATTGATGTCAGGCCCGTTCTCCACAGTAGTGAATTTTTTCATCAATGAATTTTTTGAGCGCGCTGGAAAGTTGAGCGCTCTTAAAACTATTAAATGCTCAGCTAATTCAGGTATGAACAGTCTTATCTTTCCAAAAACACCACAATCAATCACGGTAAGCACATCAACTGCCACCAATGAACACGAAAGTCACTATCACTGAGAATTTAATCGAAGAAACGGTGTATAGTGCTTATGTTCAAGCTAGCCAGATTCATTCTGGTTGTAATTTATCGATTCTTAATCCCAATGGTAAAATTATATCATTTGACGAAGTCAATCGATTAGCGCATCAGAAGCTAACAAGGTCTCAATGTAAAACGTTTAGTCACAAAAGTGATCAATCGATTCATGACAAACAAGATCAAGAGGAAGATGTCGAAGAATACCTAAGTCAAAAACAATCAAGCGAAGCAAATATCATGAATGATTCGGACGAAATGACCTCAGGTGATGAATCAGGTACCGAAATCTTTTCGAATGTATCTAATTGAACATTTTGTGGAATGCGAATCTTCGACTCCATGAGTACGCATCAAAGTAAATCATTCTTCCCCATCGAAGTGAATGAAGAGAAAAAATTCATGCATAAACAAACCGCAAATTGGTGTTTCTCGAAAACAAAACCTACTTTATCATCTGATCGATCAATTAGGGTTCAAAACAAATAGATTCTTTATATCTTTGTCACTCTGTATACAAAGAATCCGTTTAATAAAATCGTGGTTGTTGAATTTTCCTGTTTCGCTATTTAAAGTGGCTAATCATGATTGAAGTCTTGCAGTCAGAGGTGTATACAATGCAGTCAATCTACTGTCGAATCAGCGAAAGAATATTTTGAGTTGAATACTTTCTTCATATACGCATGTTGTACGATACATCAGACAAACTAGAACATGTAGATCCGTGGCATGTTACATTTTCTACATGCACCAATAGTGTCTACACAGGAACCAGTAATCTTATATTACTGCGAATTCATTTTTAGGCGCCTGATTGAGGTGATTTTAAACTCATCTTAAATCAAAAGAACCACTTAAACTCAATTAAATCGGTAAAATCTCCTTAACTCATTTTAAATCAATAAATCATAAGTCGGTTTTCCCCCCTTGGCAGAAATACTTTCAGAGTCGGTGACGAAGACCCGAATCTACCGAAAAGCAACGCTGGATGGATTCAGGCGCTGTCACTTACTATAAGTGTTCATTTTACATCCCCATCCATTCAAAAAATCCTAGTAATTTACTTAGTTTCGTTTTACGGACTCCATGATGAAGTTTTCCCAATTTTTTTGTCACGAGTTGCGTAACGGACATCCGCTCTGGAAGTCTGGAAAAAAATAGTACGAAACGTACTTTTCCCATTTTCTCATCGGTTATTTTATAAACTGATGCGGAATACTTTAGATTCCATCAGTTTAGCACATCTGTTCTCTTTAAATGCCGGATCACAAGACGAAGTTCAATTGGTCATGGTTATATTAAGAAGATGAAAATGGACACTTGGTCAAATCATGGCTCAAGCAAGGATCATGGAAAGCGACATTCATCTGCTTGCTGTTTAAGTTGGCGACCTGCGATGCAGCGGGTAGTTATAGACGCTATATGGATCTACACATGCTACTCCTCTTTTCCTCTTTTTTATTCACAATCCTCATTTTTCGTTTTTGGATGTTCCTCTTTTTTCCTCTTTTTTTCAGATCGTCGGTAGGATGCCAGGAATCATTGATTCCACTTCGTCACCTGGCCATTTTCTATTTTTCCACTACTACAAGAGATGCAAAGACAAAATGATTAGAAGAAAACAGATAGTAGGTCTTAGATTAATTCACCGTTGTCCTTGGGTCATAGCAGAGGAGATCTACGAAGTCACAAAGGAAAATCCGCTGGAAGCAAACGTCAGCAAGTACCTGAGAAAATGCTATCGAATGCTCATCGTACCGATCTTGGAGCTTCGACCTTTTACGAAGATATTTTCTACTGGAAACCTTTCGTAAAGTGAAAACCAACCGATACTTGGAAAAGTAGCAGTCTACGGACAGGACAATTTCAAAGACTAGAGCGAATAGGAAAAGTGAAAAATCATCCAAAATGCTATCTCGTAACATGGATAACATTCATAGAACAATACGCTGAAAAAATTCCGATGTTTGATCAACCATGAAACAGGATTTATGACTGCTAAATGAGTTTATGAATTTCGATATACCCTCGGATAAACCCATTTTCCGATTCTAACTGTCTAAGGGTTTGTCATACATTGCAAACTGATATCCATTTGTACTGGTTTTTCTCTCAATAACTCTTTTTCCAATGAGCAACTTCATCAACTCTCAGTCAAGAGTTTGTCATCACTTATAAGAAACCCGTCATTTTAGGGTTGATGAACAAATTTTTCAGTCATAAACCCTTTTTGAGAGTTGATTAAACGCCGGAATTTTTATCGAGTGTAATCTTATTAGTCGTACATTCAAGAGGAAAAACCTTTCAGTGCAATCCCTAACGGGATTAAAAATGTGAAACACGATTCAATTGGAGAAACTTTGAACACATAGACTGGCCAATTTATTTCTCAGTCTGCATTCCTATTTATTGAAACTTAAGCTGTTGAAAAAATAACATATCATTCTCAATAGCGATGTCTGTTGCTTTTTAAGAAAATTTTGCTCCATCAGTCAAAATATGTTATCTCAGGACGAGAGTAGTCCGCATCCAGATTCCGTCGAATCTGGCCGGCAAAAAATATTGGATTTTGTCAGATCCGATGGGAATACCTCAGAACATAGGTCCACGAAAAACTAATTTTATCCTAGAGTATTTTTTTTATATTGTGTATATGAAAATACCAAAATGCTGGAATGTTAGTAATAAATTCAAGTGTCCAACCTACGAGTACATTCTATTTCATATCTTTGACTCTCTTAGGTCCTTTAGTTCTCTTAGTGCCTTTACTCCTTTTACTTTCTTTAGACCCTTTAGATCTTTTAGTAAAGGCACGAAAGGGTGTAAAGGGACTAAAAGGAATAAAGGGTCTAAGGGCACTACTCATTTAAAAAAGCTCTAACGAGGGAACCATCCCAGATGATACTCTCCGTTGGAGTTCATCTTCGATCCTTAGAGAGGGCTCAGGCTATGGATAAAAAAACCTACAATGATTTTTCCCAAACTTTGTTATTGTCGAGATGTTGTGTCATCAACATACTGAAATAAGTCATTACCGTGGTCCCCCTCAGGGATATGGAAAAAACTTATTCTCGAATTTTGACTTGAAACTTCACACAGAGGAAGGTCTTGATGAGAATAGTTTATCCTGAAAATTTTAAGTCAAACCGTTGTTTCTATACGAAGAAATCGCTATGATAAATAATATTACGCGCAGATCTCAACATCAGTGTTCCCATACAAAGCAAGAGATACTGA